AAGATTTGCTAAAGCAAACACAAAGACATCTGGAGACACTTGGAGTCCCTAAAATGCAAGGCAATCTTTGTAAGCCAAACAGTTCTCTTCAAAATCTGCTGGAAGACAAGCAAGGTAGTAAAAACTAATAACAGCTGATGAAGCAGAAGTTCTAATAACCCATGAATAATGTACCACAAAGTTCAGCCATTCAGAATAATGCTGTCTTTCATGTTGAAAGCAGAACAGGTTTGCTTCCTCTGGAATATCTTCACAGACAGACTGCATTCTAGCGGGATTTCAATCTTACAAGACCAGCCTAAGCACCACTACATTAACCCTGAATGAGACAGTATGCACAGTCCCTCAGTGGCCAGGGAGGTGATTCTTTAATGGTCATCCCACAGGCAATCATGTTCACACACTTCTTTCTCATAATAATTATAAGAAATGTAACCCAAGCCTAACTGGACTGGAGACCAACTGAGGAACAGGAGTCTCAAGGCTCAGTGCTGGAGAAGGGATGATGAAATTCTAGAATGAGCAGGGTCAAATGACTTGATCAGAAGAGTTTGAGCAGGCAACAGTTCACTCAGTAGAGGGAGAAATGTGGAGCTGTGAAAAAAAGATTATTTCTCTCTTTGCTAACTATGTATTTTTCCTCCTGGCTCACTTCTATCAACAACCCAAAGATGGCCCTCTTCCCCAGCACTGCCTTAGCACAGCCTAAGCAGTTTGGTACCCAGAGAGGGAAGTGCTAGCTGATAATAATTGCTTCATTCTCAAGGGAATTTCCAGCAAAGTCAGACCTACCTATGAAAATGTATTACCTAGTCTGCAATAAAAAAATCACAAGAACTCTTTCAATGGCATGCAGTGTGTTTCCTTAACTGTTTCACTCCAATTCTACAAGACATATGAATTCATGTACAAAGTAAAAAGCATAAAGTTCTTGAGTTTTTAAAACCTGCAGTGGAATGAATTAGTGAAATTGTGAAATTTTGTCCCAGAAATTGAGTGGTTATTTCCCAGCTTAGATACTTTCTCTCTCACAAACAACTTTATACCACAACTACAGTTAAACAACTTCCTAGTACACAAATGCATATTACTGAATATTACACCTCTTTATTTACCAATGCACCAAAAAAAGCTAAAGAACAAATAAATGTTAGGCTTTAGCAGTGGAGGAAATCTGAAATGACATCAAATGCAGCAGAGGTAACACACAATTCTCTAGTTTCTAGAGAGTTAGGGCTGAAAGCAGCCATTCTGTAACTTTGGAACACTGACATTAGATTTTGCAGCATTGAATTCTGCTTGATATCCAATGGAAACCAGCCACTAAAATCTGGAAATGAATTAATAACATGAAGCAGCTCTATGCAGGTACCTCAATTTGTACATGAAAGTTATAAAAATACTTCTTCAAGGCAGTGCTATAAATGTGGAATTTATAAAACAAAGCAGTATAGATAAAATATGGTTGCATATTATTGATATTCTATTAGAAGCAGCCCTACCCACCTTGAAACAGATATGCAATGAATAAATTTCTAAAGAGCAGCACTTCAAAATTTCAGCCACTGTTCCTTGTGCTTGGTACAGAGTATGCACTGCAGTGATACAGGAAAAGAGTTAATAATTCATATCAAGTTATGAGAGATGACCCAGATTTTGCTTATTTTCATTTCCTGAAGTTAATTGAAAATATTAATGATAGTATTGTTATATACTTAATTATTGCCTCCACTGCTAATGCAAGGATTCAACACCAATATAAACTTCTAAGAAGCTTAAAAAGGCAAGTATTTCTACTTCATTAAGTAAAAACACAAGCATTTGACATTCTTGTGAGCTAAATTTTCTACAAAATTTAGAATTTAAACTGCTATGATTTGGAATTGGCCCATGCCAGCCAGCAGAGAGACTGGGAGGCAAAGTACAGAAATGACAGAGTAAGTACTACTTCACGTGCACGAGGTAGCTCAGAGAAACTGGGGCATCCTGAATAGGGGTGCAGAAGCACAGGGCTCTGGTACCTTTAAAGCACACAGGTACAACATTAATGATTTGACTAATCACTAATACCCACAACACAAATTAGTGATCACAGGAAAACATCTCTAGATTACTTCTATTTCTTTTATCCTTTCACCGGTATGGGCTGGCTGATGAACTGGTTTATTTTGCTGACAAGTCTATAGCTTTTAATAGTTTTAGGTTTGGTATTTATTCCTGCTAGGAGTTATAAACTCTCACTGCTTGCATAACGGCACATTGGTGTGGCAGACTCCACAGACTGCAAACAAAAGTGAGGAATGAGTATCTTTATAGCCTTTTATTTGTACAGCTGGCAAGTCTCTGGTAATGCATGTTAATGATTATGCTGCTTGTGCACTTGGCTTCAGGCTGTGGTGAAGCCTCTATTACCTTATCTTATACAATCATGGAATCATTAGGGTTGGAAAATACCTCCAAGATCATTTAGTCCAGCCTTCCATCAAGCACCTCCATGCCAACTAAACCACAGCACTGAGTGCCACATGTCACGTCCTGTCATTTCTTGGGATAGCTCCAGCAATGGTGACTCCACAACTTCTTTGGGCAGCCTGCTCAAATGATTGACAGCTCTTTCTATGAAGAAATTATTCCTGATGGTCAGCCTGAACCTCCCCTGGTGCAGCTTGAGGCCATTTCCTCTCATCCTGTCTCTGGCTGCCTGGGAGATGAAACCAACCACCTTTATATAACCTCCTTTCCTCCAGTTGTAGGGTATGATAGGGTCTCCCCTGAGCCTCCTTTCCTTCAGGATCCTCAACACACCTGTGCTCCAGGACCTTCACCAGCTCACTTGTCCTCTGGACCCACTGCAGCATCTCAAAGTCTTCCATGGACTGGGGGGCTCAGAGCTGGACACAGGATTTGAGGTAAGGCTTCACCAGTGCTGGGTACAGAGGGACAATCCCTTCCCTGGTCCTGCTGGCTGCACTATCCCTGATAAAAGCCAGGATGCCCTTGGCCTTCTTGGCCACCTGGGCACATTCTGGTTCTTGGTCAGCTGCTGTCAGCCAGCACTCCAAGTCCTTTTCTGCTGGGTCCGCATCTTCAGAAATTACTGAATAACCTGGAGAATTTTATTGCCATCCAGGTAATAGGAGAAGATGTAAGAGTTGAGTTTGTTTGGTTTTTCTCACCTTCACGGGTTGTTACTGCACAACCATGCATGACATGTTGTTCCCCACCGAGGTAAAGGGAACAGATTTCAGAGTCTATATGGAGGAAAAATCCTTTGAATTCAACCTAATAAAAGACCCAGGCGCCTGATTCAGGATGTCCGTGGACCTTGAAAGTTATTATTACACAGATGTTCTGTTCCTACTAAGAAAACATCTGCTGCTTCGACCATTGTCAAAGAAAGTTCCTAGGATGCTCCAGAATGGACTTTCTCTTCTAACACGTGTTTTGTCCCTTGCAGTGTTTCCCCAAAAGAGCATGTGCTCATGTGGCTCAATGTGATGAGATGTGATTATTTCATTGTACACAAAAGGAGAAAATGGGACCTTGTGTGTGTTAAACAGTGAATAAGGAGTTGGTACTATTTCTACTCCCTTTGCATTAAGACAAAACCCTAGGTAAACATCTTCCAAATGTATATATTTAATCATTAAAGAAGCATTTACAGTATTTGCAGCCAGGTCTCCAGAAAAGATGTAGCCAGTTCCTGAACAGAAAGGGTCGTATCTGTTATCTGGCAATTTTTCTGATACGTATAATTTACTGGCTTTATCCCAAAGAGGGCTGTGCCCTGTCATTAAATGGCCTGTGAAATAATTCTGTGTGGGAGAGGCCTGAGGAGGTTTCCAATCAGGTGCATCGTCTTGACAAAATTGCTACTGTCTGCCCTCACAGCAAACCTGTTGTCACTGCAGTGAGAGGCCACCCAGCTCATGCCCATCAGAGTTTTAAGAGTTAAGTTGCTGTGAGTGTCCAGGAAGTCCTGCTGGATAATGCTGTGATACTGCTTGCTTTCTCTCAGCAGAACGTCCCCATTGGCAGCCCTGGTCTCGCTGCCAAGCGTGAGCAGCCGAACGGCGTCAGCGCCCGGATCCGCGGCTTCGCTCCCCCAGCTCTGTCGGATGGCATTGGGCTGAAGTTCAGCTGCTGTTGTGATATCAGCAATACCAAGAAAGGTGTTTGGTCTTCACACTTCTCTTCGTCATTAATAATGAGTGCAAACGACTGTGGCTTTATTTCCATTTCTCATTTTCAGGTGGTAGTTCTCCATTTTCTTTCTCTAAGATTTGTTTGAAATTTGTAAATATTTTTCCAAGTAAACTCTTTTCAATTTCCAGGTGCAGATCATCACTTTTAGGTAGGGCAGCAAGGTGACGAGAAGTATAAAAATAGGTAATCAAAGATATTGCTGTAAAAGAGATGGTGAAAACCTGGAAAAAGACTTCTCTTGTTGCATTCCATAAGAGGGAAGAATCCACTAGAGTAGTTCATGTTGGCAGCTGTGAGAGGATGCACAAGAAGCACAGATACTTTATCAGAAGAGCAGCTAATTTGGAATTGTTTTCCTCTGTGACACAAAGATAAAAGCCGCCTTCAGGCTTCTGATTCTTCAGAATTCCTTTCATTTTCTTATTGTTAAAAGAATCCTATTATTTCATTTTAGAATAAATTGCAAAAATTTTTATCAAAGACAAAAAATTTTAAGAATTTCTATGTTAAATTTTTAGACTTTTCTTCCTAAGAGAAATACAGTAAGAAAAAAATGAAACTAAACAAATACACTATTAATTTCATCAGATAGAGCAGAAATTATTCAGATCTATATTTAAATACTGAAATAGATGTAACATATAAAGACATTTTAACTTCCTGTAGGCTTTACAAAAAGTTATCACATAATTGAATCATCCAAAGTTAATGAAATATTTTGATTGATTATGGATTTGTAGCATTGGAGGCTATTATGATATTTCCTACCCATTAAGCAGCAGAAGGGGGTTGGGGATTAAGGACCCTCCCTATTCCTCCTCTTGTTCAAACAAATCTGCTCCAGTGACAGCTCTCCAGGGGCCACAGTACCTGCAGGGCATGTCCAGCTGCTGGAGGTTGGGAGAAATAGAGCATTAGTATATTCTGTGATAAACTGGTCAGTAGTTTCATGCAGCTCACATGTACCACACATCTATAAAACATTAAGGACACAGCAACTAATAGCTTAGTTCTAACAATCTTCCTTCTTATGTTTTTAGCTCTTTAGAAACTGTATATTTTGGCATCATAACATATTAAACATCCAGGATCCAAAAAAAAAAGTAATGTAAGAAAGAACATGGTCACTATGACATCAGAAGTCAAGAGCCATTTCTGTCTCAATTAACTGTTTTATTGGTATTTGAAATATAAGAATTTCAGCACATGAAATTAAAAGAGCAGAAGGTAATTTTCAGTGTTCTAAGTGTACTTCTGTACTGCAGTTTTCTTGATGAAGCTAAAAATATTTTGTCAAAGTCTTTGACTTCTGTTGGTTTTGACAGTGCAATTCCATTAGCTGAAATCCTAGTTCCACTGTGGAAAGAACAGAAACTTTGAAGAAGACTTCGCTAAGAGGCAGTTAAAGTATTTATTGTTTCAATTTGATTGAGTTATTACAAGATTAGTAGAAAATTCATGCTGGTAAAGAGTACTTGTGTCTTCAAAAATAGTTATAGTTTGTCTTGGTTATGAATTTTTAAAATGCCAAGAAACACTCAAAATACAATACTCCTATTAAACTTCTTCACAGCAAAAAGAACAATACTTTAGAAATAAATGCTTATCCACAATAATTACCCAATTCATTAAACCAAAACAATTGTAATTATGAAAATTATTTTTCTAAAACCAATTGTGTAGCAAAATGCAGTGTATATTAGGTTGCCTTGGGATACACTGATTATTCAGATGCACGCATTTAACTACATTCAGATTTTAAAATTACTTCATATCTGTTAAACTACCCCCTGCCAATTAGGCATTATTAATTAATAAAAAGGAAGATGACTGAAAAGGAGTAGAGAAAAGCAGGAAAGGAATTAGAAAAAAAGGTAAAATTAATATGGTACTGTTTCTTGACACTCCTGTTTATATTATCTTTTACTTATTTATTAGAAAAAGACAGCTCTGAGAACTCTTGAATGAAAATCTACCTTACAGTGTACTAATTCCACCCTATCCCATCACAGATTTTGGGAGGACATAAAACTAAGAAAACTAACCCCTCATATCGTAGCAATGCTTTGATATTTTCCCAAATTCTTGAAGTAATGAGTTTTGAAGTGCAGGCCATTGAAGGTGCTCCCACAAATGACAAATTTCTAAGTAATCTTTTGAGGAAATGCTAGGTGTGTTTGAAGGCTCCAGAAAGCACAAGGTAGGGCTGATTTCATCCCAAACCGCCAGCGGGCAAGCAGATCCCGGCATCTCTGCTACCTGGCCTCGGCTCAGTTTAGCCAGCTTTTAGGCAGATTGATGAAATGGTCATAAAAGGCTGAGCTGGGGAGTGGGGGAAGAGCAGGAGGTGCCCCCACCTGGGCTGAAGGCAGCGTCTCCTGCAGAGGAGCTCTGACAGCACAGGACAGCACAGGACAGGACAGGGCTCTGCCGTGCCCTGCCGCCCTTCTGGCTCTTGGGAGCAGCAGCTGTGCAAAGTCCCTGCCCCACCTCCTGCGGCTCTCTGGGGGCTCCCAGGGACAGCCCTGGGGTCTGTGAGATGAACCTGTAACTGCTCCACCCCTCTCGCTTGAACCTCTGTTGAATTTCAGTCCCACGTCCCGCAGGATTTGGAGGATGACCTTGGGCATGGCAGTGACACTTGCTCTCGGTGGTTGGAAAGAGAAGCAGAGATGTTGCAGTTTGTCTGTACGAGTTTCTTATTGGGTTATGGGTGAAAAAAAGCTGTCTTGAAACCACCCAAGCAGCAGAGAGCTGCTTGTGCTCCCTCTTTCCTGCACCATTTGGCTTCCCAAGAAGCCAGGCAAGCCTTCTGTGGTTACACATAGGAACTCACCTAAACATGTGCTGCTGAGGTGTGACACGGATCGGTGCTGGAGAGAAGAGTGAGGAAATCGAATTATCTTGATATGTATTGTTGGAAAGATCTACATTCAGTTTTTCAAAATATAAAATAAGATTTCTAGGAGTAAAAGAGATGGTCTGTGATCCTTAAAACCACTGCCTGTTACAATGATTACAGCAATTTGAACAGCAAAGGGCTTAATTAAGTGTGAAGAGAATCAAGCACTTTGCATAAAGCACTAAAGAAGTAGATTAATAACAATTGCACGTATTTAAGGACTATATGGAATTAATTTAAGAAATGTATAAAGTATTTATCTGCTAGTGTGGTGTGAAATCTTTGTATATGTCCTTTTCTGATTTAAATTATGCCTAGACTGAACTAATCTCATCAAAATCCTAATTCTACACAAGAATAGCACTCTTTTTTCTCCCACTGGAATATTAATAATTTTTTTCCTAAAAAAACCAAATGTGTGAAAAATTGAAGACTTATTTTAGGTTCTTTTTTTTTTTTGTTTTTTACATAAGTGCACTTTGGATTTAAAAATAGTCTCCAAAGGGAAGTGAACAGCAACAGCTATCCTAGAATTTGCTTGTCTCTAGTTATCTGCTATATATTTTTTTTCTTAAAGTATATACAGAAATATGGCTGCCATATAATTAATCACATATAAACAGTACTGCTTTTATGGAAGTGCATTAAAGCTTGTCATGGGACAAAAAGGGAGCACACTGTCTGTGAGAAGCCAAGAATTTCTTGTTAGTCTAACAAAAGTGTCCTGTCAGAAGACAGCTACTAGTTTAATTTGTTATCAGCAAAGTGGGGAGTGAAGAAGGGAAAATAGTTCTACATGCAGCCCCTGGTATCTCCTTCTCTCATGTCACATTCACCTTCTTTAATGCCCCTCTGGGGGGTCCTATGAGTTGGTCCTATGGCACCAACTTTACTCAAGGAGATGGACAGGGAGAGGAGTTTGTGGCAAACTGCCAGCGCCCCACAGTCTCCACCAGAAGCATCCCGACATTGGTGGCAGTGCCTTTGCTACCCAGGAGTGCCAATTCCACGGGTTTTGCAAGACAACACTTTCCTTTTTCTCTCTTGGTTCTCAGTTGCATGTGAAGCCTGATTTTATTACATTTGCTTTGTTGACCTTGGGTAATTCCTCCTTGTGTTCTATGACTAAATGACTATGACTGAATCCAGCTTTATGCAGCTGCCAACAGTGCAGCTATTCTCATAGCAATAAGTAATTAGCTATTGGTCACACTTCTCCTCGGTTATCATCCCACACCTACATTTCTCTATACTTCTATATCAGGGCCATAAAAACATACTCAAAACAGAATAGCTATTTGCTGCACAAATACAGACAGATAACTAGCAGGTATTGGGCCACATGACTGTGGAAAACTAAAATAATTGAGTAACAGGAGGTAATTCACTACACAATTTGCTGTTCCAGCTTTAAACAGCTAGAACAAAGGTCCAGCCCCTATCCTGTTGACTGACCTGGTCACACAGTATCTGTGTGCTTGGGAGCATAGTGCAGAGAGTAATCTAATAATGCTACAGCAATTTGTTACCCATTTATCTGGGCTTGTGTTTGTTTTGGTTTGTATCTAGGGGTTCACAAGGGAAGTTATGAAAGGTGCCGGGTGATCAGTTTCCCTTAGAAAATGCCATTCTAGTGGCACAAGAACAACACTTTTTTACCAGTAAAGATGCTGAGAATTGTGAGCCAGTAATTCTGAGGGAAGATGTCCTTCACAGTTTTTAGGTTCTTTGGCAGATGTATATACAGAATATAAGTGTTCATCTAGATAAAAAAAGTGTGAGGTTGAGAATGAAAGTTTTTTTAACTGTTGGACAGTCTACAGATGTCTATAGAGAACTAAATAGATACCTTAGCATGGTTTTTAGACCAGAAGTCACCCCAAAATGGTACCAGTTTTAACCATGTAATTTCTGACTAATGTCTGCATGTACCTTTCTAATCTGTATTTAAGTAATTTAAGCCCTATAACCTTCCAAATAAAATAAAAGGTAGCTTAGACAGAGGTTGGAAACTTGAGATACAATATTTGTTTGCTGCAGTTAAGAATCTGGATTCTTAACTAAATTTATTGTGGGGACAAGAACCAGAACTGCATCACTATTCTTTACTAACTTCAGTACTTGGCTAGGTTTTTATTGGAATTGGAATAAATTAGAATAGCTATTTGTATTAGAGATGTTTAGCTAATTTATATTTTATAATTAAAAGTTCTGACAATAAGGAGTTACTTCGATCAGTTACAAGAACAATTAACATAAACTTAATTATGGATGTTTATGTGTGGGTTGTTCATAAACAACTTGTCTGCAGGATTAGTGTCTCCTAATGCCTTATGTGCAGCCCTATAAAAGCTGCAGGATGCTGAAGTCTTTCTTGCCTCATCTCTTGGTTAATCATGAACTTCTGTAATTCAGCTAAAAATGACATTTATAAAGCTCCATTATTTGCTAGCACATGAGCTCCTGGTTTTGTCTGCACAAGGGGATATGCACATGGGAAGTCCTGAGTGTTTCTGTTCATCTGCTGCAGGCAGTAATTCAGGGGGCTCGTTCACTGCAGGGACCGGGACCATTCCTGCACCCCTGGAGCCGAGTGTGCCTCATGTTCCTCGGTGCAGGGACTGGCCACAGGATGGCAGAACACAGGACCAGGAAAACCAGAAGCCCCTGGGCTGGGAAAGGCCCTGAAGCAGCTCTCTCCTCTCCTGGATAGAGTGCTGCCTTCATCTCCCTGCGGGTGCTGCCAAATGTCACCCCTACACATCAGGCATGAGCAATAACTGCTCCTCAGATCTGCTGAAGATGAAGTCAAAATGTCACCTCATTTGTGTGCTCTGCCTCAGAGGTGAGTTCAGGGGAGATGGGCAGGAGCTGGCAGCCTTTCCCACACAGCTGCTGCTGGGAGCACGTGCAGAGCACTACACAGAGACCCTGAGAATCCCCCAGTGAAAACACAGGCACCAGTGGGTTTTTGAGTGCTGTGAGGATAAACTGGAGATTAGTTGAGACTTTCAGTTTTAACTCTATACATCTGAATTCCAGTCCATGTGCTGTTGAATTTGGTAAATAATTTCACTATCTAAAGCTACACTGTATTTTATGAGACACAAGGTGATGCTGACCACTGGAGCTCCTAGAGTTGTTGAGAGCTACCTGATCCAGGCACTGGTTTTACCATCTGTATTTTTAGGTTTCTAAACCTTTAAAGGTAAGCTGCCATAAATGAGGGAAGAAATCATCTTCATTCAGGGCTTGTAAGGAAAAATATGCAGAGAATTATATCTTACTGCAGAAATTATGCCGTGGATTCCACACAGATTAAATCCTAATTTTTAGACAATTTCAAAGAAATGCCAGCATAGTGATCTACTTACCTCTCATCATCTAACTTGGCCAAAGACATCTGCAAATCCAGATGCAAAGGTGTATGGTCCTCTGGAATAATTGTTTCAAAACCACATCATCATGTTTCATTTCTAAAATGAGAAGATGCAAAGAGCAGGGTTAAATAAAATTTAAAAATGCCTTTACTTTCCTGAGTGAGAATATCTAAAATATACTCTTCCTGACAAACCCTTCACCTTTCTGCTGGATCCCCAGGGATTTACTCTCAGTCCTGACAGTCAAGAAGGATTAATTTAGGAGGTATTTAGCAAGTTGTCATATATTTGCCACTGTCAGGCAGTTGCACTGTCTTGTTTGGACAGGTTTCAGCAAAATGGGTTATTAAAAGGAAAAATTTTGGCATGCAAAAGGTACTTCAAAACAGGTACTTCTTACAAGTATTCTTAACCCCAAAATACCTTCTGAGCTGATTTTTAAAAGAAATTCTGGGTAGGAAGATTTTTCTCATATTATGACTTTGCATTACAAGGGGAAATAAGGTTTAGTACTGTGTCTTAAATCCTCCATAAGGCTAAAAATAAGCATGCACTGAAATGATCCTATTAATCATACTGAACTGATGGATGACTATAAACAGGATTCACTTTTCTGGCACTCACACAAATGTTACACAGTAGAAAGAAGAGTTTTCACTGGGATGAAATGCTCTACAAGCTGTACTTTGGTTATACATAACTAGTTTAAAGTATTTGTATGTATAGTTCAAAGAGGAACTAGTAATTCTGTGGGTGTAACTGGTGTTCCTTTATCGTACCTTAGTCTTAGCTGGCCCTGTAGATGGTGCTGTAATATCACTGATAGCAGTAGGATTATGAGGCTATTCACTTTTGTCACTGGCCAATACCCAGCTCACGCTACAGAGTAGTCATAAAATCCATGTTATCAGTCTCCATAAAACCAGCTGGTAGTACCAGTTCAGATTTTATTGGAAGACTGTCTGGTTTACAGCATCTGAGTTGGCCTTCTTATTGTCCACAACAGCCAAATCATTATTTCCTACAATAGATTCCTCTGAAAATACTCCACTGTAATAAAATAAGAGATTTTTTTTATATTCCTGTAGAAAAAAAAAACCCTAAAACGTCATTTTAGTCTGGTACCCAAACAAGCATTACTTTTATGTCAGCAAGATTTAAAAAAGTAGCCTTGTGGTCTTAGAATGTATCATGCAGTCTTTACAGTACATTTTTGAGTACTTTAAACATCAAATGCAGAACAAGAAAGCAAATTTGGAGTATTTACCACTAAACTTCATCCGTTCAGAATGAATTTCTGCATAAACCATGCCAAGAAAAAAATGCATGTGTCTCCTATATTAAACAATGGTTGTGATGACTGAGCTGATTGCACTGAAATGATTTCATGGGTATTTTTTGGTTCAAAAGAAGTTTCACTTTCTGTGGACAGAGTTCCTGAGTTAGAGAACTCAATTTTCAAAATCCCTTCTAGAAAGCTCAAAGAAAGTGTACTTTCCTGGTCATTAAGGAGAGCACAGGCATAGAGTGAACCTTTATCAGGACACTGTACTCAGTCCATTGTACTTAACACAAGGAGGTACTTTTTAGTTCTTCGATCACCTCTCAGACTGGATTCTGAAATGAAGAATAAGGTGCCCTTTTCCTTATGTCATGGTGTTTACAGTGGAGTAGGTTCCTAGCACAGTTTTGTGGATCCTCTTGACTGGATTGGAGTTCACATCACAGGAGTTGTGTGAACGTGTTTATACAAGCATAGTTAGTTCACATAATTTGTGAGCAATGGAGCAGGTTTAATCTCTAGTTTTCTTAGACACTGTAAAAAAAGATAAGATCAGCCATTAAAAATATTAGCTTTCAAACATGAAGTTAAACTGTTACTTCCTTTTCAAAAACTCAGAACATTTTCATCACAGTTCTGGATTATACTGCTATGTTTTAAAGACAAAATTATGATGGCTACTGGGAAGTTATGTGAGCAACAGAATTGAAAGTTATGAAAAATTTATTACAGCACATTTGAAGCATATGGCTGACCTAGGAAAGCGATGATGTCTGCAGTGTTCTAAAATTAGTATACCAAGTGGTAAAAACCTATGACTTTTTTTGATGACTTGCATTATTCTTCAGTTATGCTCTCCCTATTTGTCTTAGTGGTTTCTGCTACACCAAATAATGTAGTAGCTGAAAAAAATGTAGCTAAAATTGCCTCAAGGCAAGTACAGAAAGAATTATTTAGACATGCATATTTTTTTTCACTGAGTTCTAATGTTCTTCCATTTTCTACCACATCTTGTGCTCCTATATTTTGTTTACATGGTCTGTAAATCAGTTTTGTACTGCAGATCACTGTCACATATAACAAGAGCCATAGTTTTGAAATGTAGGAGTTATTTGTCATAACATGGAAGTAGCAGAAAAAGGGAAGCTACACTCAGCAGAGAAAGCAGTAAGTAGAAAGCAAAATTAGTGATGCTGCACAGACTTTCCCAGTTCTCAGAATTAGCACTTGGTTGGGTATTTCTCTCACAAAGTTCCCAAAGGAAGAAAGAGCAACTATTCCCTGCTATCCTCAGAGGATCAAGTAATCTAAAAAGCAAAGGCTCCAACTCTGGAACTCCGTGACCACTCACAGATTTCCTCCTTACTGTGCAAGCAGTGAGGTGTTTTCAGCCTTTGCATGACTATCTGAAATGCAACAGTGTGGCACTAGGGAGGGGAGCAGAGCATTGAGAGCTGTAACAACATTAACGTGTGCTAAACTTAGAGATTAGCAGGTCATTATAAACAAAGGAGCAAGATCTTTGGAAAATCTGACAGTATTTTAATATAAACTTGCTTGTTCTTTATGATTAAAATTGAGGTAAAGAAAGTTTATGGAAGTAATAAAGCATTCTATTGTTTTTACCTATGGCCAAAATAATCAATTAGGAGCTTCTAGCTAAATGTTGATGAAAAAAGCATGTCCTTTTTACAAGCTGTCTGTTCACTTTACCTGTGCATGTAGCAGAGTCCCTTAATTCACCTCTTTTGGTGCCATCTCCATGGTCTTAGAAAAGAACTTTTCCCTTCAAACCACACTGAGCAGTGAAATGAACCTGGGTTTCACACGTCCCAGGATATTGCTTCACTTACTGAACCCATACACACACACTCCTACTTTTTTTTTTTCCTTTATATCTTATATTTAAGGGCTGCAGAGGGGAAAACCATCAATTTTCAAAAAAAATATTAAAATATTTTGATTGTTTATTAATACAGTTGATACATTCTCAGTATAGGAAAATTTTCCAGGAAACTCTCAGCATTAGTAAAAATACTTGAGACGTGTTCATGAAAAACTAAATTTCCTTCTCCTAAGAGCATGGTGTGACAGAATGCAGCTTTTGTCCTTCCTTTCTTTTATATCTTGCTCCTGAAGTGTGGGAAATAATCAAATTCTTAAGAGCACCCCCCTAATTTCTTATGCACAACTATGCCAATACCACAATTTAGAATTGCTTATGATTTCCTTCCCTATAGGAGCTGCCATAGTCACTTTATTTCATTGTAGAAACAGTTTTGTAAATAATAGTAAATGGTTCTTCTGCTAGACAATTCACATTATTGCTCACAAGGGCCATCAAGTTATGGATGCACTAAAGTGCAGCAGGAAGAAAATATCCACCACCTTTGAACTTATGACATGTCCAAAAATCTTGGAAATTTTAATAGGCTGTGATGTATTTTGCCACTGCAAATGACTTTCCTAACTCACTGTGCAACACATGATTTAACCATTGCCAATCTGTTCTTGGGATCAAAGGAATTAGTTTAAAATGCACTTTCTTGATATTTACAATGCCATCCTCCCATAAGTAGAAATGCATGGAGAAGAGATCCCTTTTCAGTGTGAACTTCAGCAAGCAGGGTGAGAACCAGTTTGAGAAGCTTTTGAAATAGCCCTAACAAAATGTCACAGAAGCATTACTTCAGCTTTAAGGTAGTGCCTGTGTGTGTCTGAAGATATAAGGTAGGCTGTAGAACTATGTGAAGCTGTTATTTAAATCAACTACCATTTTATTTTTTGCTTCTGTTTCCAGCTTTCCTCTTCTTCATCCAGTTTTAATTTAACCTTTATGACTTCTGTAAGAATATTTATGTGAAACTGAAACCCTACCCTCTCTTAAGAGGACACATCCTGATCCAAACCCAATGTTCTTAGCAGTTTTAAATTTGGTACAGAACAAAAACAATCCTAAAGGATTTCTTCTGTGCACATACAATAAAATGTGCAAACCACTCTATGAAATAATACATAAACTTTATTTCCTACCTGTCTAACTGCACTGCGACATGATATACTTTACATTAGCTATTATATCTGCAAATTCTCATTTTCTCTGTCAAATGATGCATGAAAGTGAGAATCACTGTAGCTTAATGGAATAAGCCTCTTATCAGTGCTATATATCAAAGGCATCCCTCTCTGAACACCTAAGGACAGAGGGATCATATGTTCTGAAACAATTGCACTTGAATTCACAGTAGGTTGCTGGGTTTGAGGTTTTGCTGCTCCTGTTTATTTTTCCCTTGCTGTGGGGACAGTGGTCATTGTTATGCTGTTATTTGTTCTGTACAGGCTTAAGTGTGCTGGGGGTCAGCAGGGGATTACAGATAAGGAATGATGTCAAGAGGGACTCCTCTGTCTTAAAGAAGACTAGATTTGTCTCTATTACTCAAGTTTGGAAAAGCAAAAATGTTTGAAATAGTTTATATAATAATATCAATGACTGGTGTAACAGCATTGACATAATATGAATAACATAATAATTAATGATTGATGAAGCGGCCAAAAGGAGGCTGAAAACAGTGTTTTATATCCAAGGCTGTTGTCACATTGGTTATGCCCAAAGAACAGCAACACAGGTTTGGGGTAAGCCACAAGGAGTAAAGAGGCAGGAGAGGGAAGAGAAAGAATTCAAGTCCATGACTACCTTGACCTGGGCTGATCTCCTCTGCATCTCTTCTGAGCCTGTGCTAACAGGATTTTGTAGCTGCAAGGCAGACAGCATGATTCAAGCACCATCCTGGAAGAGAGACAAACAGGTATATGTGGGGTTGTGTCTTTCATTAATTAAAATAATATTCCAAATTTACTTTTGAAAGGGCAGAGGGAAGTCCAGGGCTGTGTAAAAGGTTTCAAACAGCACAGTAGGAATTAATTCAGAAAACTTCATACATGTCCTCTTTTTGCACATTGTTGTGCAAAACAAACTTCAGCTGTTATTTCCTTTAATCATACCAAGTTTTGATGTGGGAGAAAGTGAGTCTGACTGAAGGTGTTCAGCTGGCTGCCTACTATTACTTCCTTTTCCAAAGTCCCACTTTCATTATAAATCTGCATCTTAGCATCTTCTAGCTCTATGGAGATTTAGCTTATGCAAACTCTGCTTCATCTTAGTTGCACCATCTTTTGGATTCAGTCAAGTGGTACTTGATTCTTTTTTCATGGGAAAATGATTGTTATTATCCTGACTTTAATATTATTCATACTTTAGAGGATGTGTTTCTTGTCTTGAGAAAAGGGCTGTGTCCACAACATAGTCTATACTCCAGAACTTTTGACCTCAGTCTAATTGTTTTTTGTAATTTCCTGGTTATTCTCTGACATTGCATTTATCTGGGATGATTATCTTGTCAAATTCAAGCAGTATCCAGATGAATCAAATAAAGAGTGAATTATTTAAGTGAAATTTGACAAAGTTTGAAAAAAGTAATAAATATTTGAATATTTATAAGAAGCTGGACAAACAAATTTGAAAAAGTTTCTGCCTTTGCAGCAGAGTAATCCTGTAACACTGTGCTCATGAGTATTCAGTTCACAGGTGAAGCAGCGTGAGCAAGAATGGGACACAGATGGAAAAGTGCTGACAGAGGTATGAAGGGACAGTACAGCTGGAGGCACAGAACTGATATTAATTCTTTTTTTTCTTTGTGAGGCCATGAAGGTTTTATTTTTCTAACCCTTTATTCTCAGTTCAAAGAACATTTGACAAGGGCTGACTTGGTGAACCAATCTTTTTAATGTGATTTATAGAATCAAGTCATGAATCTTTAAACCTGGTGATATAAATTGTCTCTTCAAAGTATCATGAATTGCTGAATATTATATTATTTTCCAGTTTTAAAAGTTCTGAAGCAGAGTGCAAAACCAGCACTGTATGGTGAATGCTGTCAATTACACAACACAAAATCAGAACTGGTCCTGTAGTTTACATGTGACTTGGGACCCTAAGTAAAGAGGATCTGTAAACTGCAAATCCAAGAATAACACAACCAGATTAATAAAAAGGGCTGAGTGTGATGATAGAAATTAGTAATAAATACTGAAATATTTCCATCATGTTTAATGATCATACATTTTCTATTTCAAACACTTCTGAACTATGCTATTGCTTTGAAAATGATGAGCTATTTTCTCTCCTATACACATCTACTTATGTTAAGAAATGGCTGACAATCAACTCTCCTTTCAAAAGCCACATTATCTCTCCAGGACCTGCTTCCTCTGCAGGTGAAGTTGCCTTACCAGTTCAAGTATAACAAGTGAGAATGCTGGAATGAATAAAAGAACTAGTGCACTTAGCAGAAACCATGGGAAACTGGTCAAAAATAAGCAAGGAAAAAATAGATATATTTGGGAAAAGGTGAAAAACTACTTCATCCTCATCAGTATCATAGCAAAATCCATGCTTGTCTCAATACCTCATTACAATGACATCATAGAAGAGAGAGCATAACCCTATAATCAAACCAATTGTTCAAAGCCAATAATCACTGCTCACACCCCATTTCCTTACTTGTGCAACCCTAACTCCAAGGATTTCACACTGATAATGAGATCAGAATCTCACTTCCCAAAAAAATAACCAAAAAACAACAAGTGATGAAAGCCATAAAATGCAATTTAAGGGGAACCAAATTGCAGCCACAAATCTGTGGAATTAGAAAAGAGTGCAGAAAATGAAGCCCATGTTTCATGGAGGATGTTTAGCTGCCTTTCACTGCCAACAGATAACTGACTCTGTTTTATTCTGGTTCATCTGTCTTTTCAGGAACCACACACCTGGATGAGCTTATCAATGCAAGTTATCAATTTTAGCTGGCAAATAGAATAACAAACATATTTTAAAAAGACAAAGAGCCTCTTAGTTTAGGTCCCAATGCCATGTTTTTCATCACTGTTAATAAGAGGAGTCAAGAGAACAACTCTGGATGTGAACAAATGTATCTGTGATATTTTCTGAAATAGATCCCATTCCTTCCCAGCCCTGTCTGCACTGATTACTTACTCATGCTCCTTCCTCTTGTTTATGGTCAGCATTCTTCTCCATTGTGATCACATAATTAACACTTCTTATTTGTACTGTAAAGAAATTCTGCAGTTAAGTATAAACATAAATGCTCTAAAATGTTAAAATATATTTTACACCTTTTATTTAATGTCAAATAACACTATAATTCCATATAGTGGAACATAGCGAGACCCAGAAATAAACAAGAATGTCCACAGAGATGTTAATTTGCATTAATGAAACTGAATTATCTGTTTCATTGCTGTATGTAAGACACAGGTCTGACCTTAACTGAAAATAGATAACTTATAAAGGAGCTTTGTTATGTTTTGTTTATCAATATGATAATTTGTGGGGGGAGGGGGAGACCATAAGGAAGAGCTGCACATACATTTTGCATAAGAAACATATGGGATCAGAAAAATTTTTTGGAATTCAAGTAACAAATGAGTCATCAAAAACCCTACAGGAGGATAAGCCTGAGTCCATATTTTTTTCCTTTTATTATTAGTTATTTCTTGAATTGTAGGTGACAAAAGGATTCTACGTATTAAACAAAATTTTTATTTGAAAATGCATCACAAGTCCTTGGTATTTTCAGCTAGCTATTCAGCTAGATTTTCAGTTGGCTAGACATCCCCCAGTCCACCAAAAGCCCCTGTGCTAACAGGACTCCAGATGCCCCAGCAAGCCTAATCCTGGTTGTTGGTTTGACTTCCATCTCTGCCAGCTGAATCATTATGAGGCAGTGGCCACATATGCCCTGTAGGATAATGTAACCCCCTATTTTCACTTCTTTACTTTTCAATTTACTTCCCCATCCCTACTATCAGCTCCCTTTTTGCCCCCTTTCCATGTTTTTTATCCACTCTGTCTCCTAATTTCTAATCAGCTTCTGCCTCTGGAAAAGGCCACTAGAAACTCTTGATTCTCCACCAGATTACAAATCTCTCCAAGCTTTCAGTAAGATACCCCAGGCTTGTGTCTCCTCCTGCCTGACTTGAAGTGCACCTGAGGGAAAGTCTGTATTGCTCTCCCAGGGGGGCTGCCACATTTCACTTGCAACTCCAACAGAAAAACACCAAAATGAATAGTTTCAAGGAGATGTAAATCTTTCTGTCAGGAGCTTCTCCTCAGCTGTGCCCAGGTCTCTGCCTGGTTCTAACCAAAGCCTTTTATCCTCCTGCCTTGCTCTGGGCATGCAGAGAGTGAACCTATCTAAAATCCAGAATTAAGGAGTACAGATATAAAGCTGCTGTTCCTTCCCCTGACTCACTGCAGGGACTAAACACTGATGATAAAATTTTTAAAACTATAGAGATTTTTTTTTCTTTATCCCTCTGATTTCAATAGGTATTTATCAGGGGTTAGAGGATGCTCAATCAAGCATTAGCATAAATTAACCAGGTTGAAGTAGGAAAACCAGTTACAGGCTGGTCACCTAAGCTGATCCCAATCTTACTGTAAATCCAAACAAACAAACAAACAAACAATAAATAAATACAGATGAAGACAGAGGTTTTCCATTGCTTCACACTGGTGGATTTGGTCTCAAGCACTCAGTGGCTCACTGCTATCACAGTGTGTGATCACTTCATGCCTGTGCATGGAGATTAGCAAGCACAGGGATTTGTTTCACCCGACAGAAACACAGATTGGCATTTGGGCTGGGGGCAATGGGCAGTCAGGCTGCAGGGGCAGCAGGGTGGGGAGAGCACCAGAGGAACTGGTGGCAGCAGGAAGAAGAGAAAGGGGCTCACTGCAGTCAGGGCTGTTCCTCACTCGTGCCCCTCTGCTGACCCTTTTATCATCCCACAGACTGCCTCCTGCTAGCTCCAGTATTTGCATCTGTCACTAGGACTACCTCTCTCTTACCCCAAAATAATTTCTGCATTATCTGAATATGAGGAAGATCTACTTTTCTCCTAATGAGTCACCTGAGTTAGTGGGGGTCACCCCTGGCTGGATTAGAAAGGGGAATAATGTTAGTTCTGGCAGGGAAGAGCTTTCTGTGGTCAGAAACAGCACAAACACTCTATTAAATAAAGTATGATATGACTTAATTTTTATCCCTAAGTGTACCAATATGAATGTCTGGCAAGCCAGGACAGTAATTAATAGTATCTGTAAACAATATTATTTGTTTTGATTACATTCATAATTCTGAACCATAATGATGGAATTGCCAAAATAAACAAGTTTTTTTTTTTTTTTTACTCTTCCTCCATGTTCATATAGCCCTGATTTCTCCAGCTGCTGACATTTTATAAATGTCATAGTTTATGAGGAAATAATAAAACCCCAGGTAACACCACACAACACCATGACCTTTAGCTGAGGGATTGCTCTAAGTTCTTTAGTAAGCTCAGTAAAGAAATTCAGAGGTGAAAATTCAGGTTCTAGGAAGTAATTGAAGACTTCAAAGGTCACAGATTTTCTCTCTGTGAGTCAGACTCAGAAGTATCATTTTTTTTTCTAACCTGATGCTTGGGATTTGATTTTGCTAATGACCTCCTTTAGCAACAAATGATAAACAGCTTTAACTGGGAATGTGAAAATTTTCATTATTATTTGGAACTGAATTTGTTTATCGTGACCAGTCTTATCAAACCTAAAGGCATTCCCACTATTAGGATTTTTGCCTAGGAAGATTTTGTGAATATTCCCACAACAGTATTTCTGGTAGATCCTCTTAAAAGATACACATTGGCATTTAATGAA